AGATCGTCACCCAATTGCATTCTTCAGCCAAAAACTCTCTCCTCGCATGCAAGTTGCGTCCACCTATCATCGCAAAATGTTCGCAATCACTTAGGCTGTACAAAAATGGCGTCAATATCTTTTGGGTCGCAAATTCTTAATCTTGACGGATCAGCAACCCCTTAAGTCCCTCACAAATCAAGTAATCCAGACTCCTGAACAACAACAATGGCTTTGCAAACTCATTGGCTATGACTTTGATATCATTTATAGACCTGGAAAACTCAATTCTGCTGCTGATGCCCTTTCCCGCATCCCTACTTCTCAATTTTTCTCCATTGCTTTCACTGAATTTGCCTTACTGGATAGGTTGCAAACTTTGAACAAGTCTGATCCTACATTATTGGAGTTTCGGCGTCAACTTGACAATGACCCTACTTCCCTTCCCTATTTCTCCTTCCATGAGGGACTCTTATTCTATCGTAATAGGTTGGTAATTCCACCGGACCAGAATATTCGCCATCTGTTGCTTCATGAATTTCATTCTTCAAAAATTGGAGGCCATTCAGGGATTTCTCGCACCTTCCATAGATTATCATCCAATTTTTATTGGCAAGGCATGCGCGCAGATGTCAAGAAATTTGTTCAGGAATGCCAAATCTGCCAACAAATGAAGGATTCATCTTTGAAGCCAGCAGGATTGCTTCAACCTCTTCCCCTCCCAGAGGCGATCTTTGAGGAAATCTCAATGGACTTTATCACTGGCTTACCCTCGTCCAATGGTCGTACGGCGATTCTGGTAATTGTAGATCCACTCTCTAAGTATGGCCACTTTGTTGCTCTACCCCCTAACTTCTCTTCTCAAAAGGTTGTTGAATTCTTCATCCAAGACTATATCAGACTTCATGGGTTTCCTTCCAAGATCATCACTGACAGGGACCCTATTTTCTTATCTGATTTTTGGAAAGAAATTAACAGACTCCATGGTACTCAATTAGCCAAAAGTTCAGCATATCACCCTCAAACTGATGACCAGACTGAAGCTCTAAACAAGTGTTTAGAAATGTATCTTCGCTGCTTCGTTGCCGATACCCCTGCTGCTTGGTCTAAACTACTTCCTTGGACTGAATTTTGGTACAACACTTCCTTTCAAAACAGCTCCAAGTTGACTCCTTTTGAGGTCGTGTATGGTAGACCTCCACCCTCTATTATCCAATTTGTGGCTGATTCCTCTAGTAATCCAGCTGTGGTGGAATCTTTTCGCCAACGTGACGAGACGTTAGCCCTCCTCAAAGACAATCTCAAAGTAGCCCAAGATAGAATGAAGCTCCTAGCTGACAAAGGTAGGCGCGACATTTCATTTGCAGTAGGTGATTGGGTGTACATAAGGCTGCGACCATATCGTCAACTCTCTATCCGCCTTCAGCGCTACAGCAAGTTAAGCAGACGCTACTTTGGTCCATTCCAAATCATCCAGCGAATCGAAGAAGTTGCTTATAAATTGGACCTTCCTGCTTCATCAAGGATACACAACGTGTTTCATGTGTCTGTTCTACGCAAATGCATTGGTCAACCTTCCCAACAAGTCACCCCAATTGACTTGTTAGACCACTCATCTTCCAAGACTATGCATCCCAAGAGTGTTCTGCAGCATCGTGTAATCTCCAAAGGCGGCCATCAGGTTGATCAATGTTTAATTAGTTGGTCGGGACTGCAGTGCTCTGAGGCTACTTGGGAAGACACTGCATCTATACGACGCAAGTTTCCTGAGATGAACTCGACTTCAAGGGGATGGCAATGTAATGAATCACACTAAAGGACAGACTAGGCAGAGGCACAGCAACAGGGTAGTGCGTCCACCAAAATACCTGGACAACTTTGTGGTCCCTACCAAGGACAATGCTGCACATTCCGTTAGATATAAGGCAACAATAGAGAAGGGAACATAAGGAGGAGTCTACTATATAAATGGGCAGGAGACTAGCATGTAGGATTATGTCAATATGAGTCTTGTCGTTTATCTTTACTATAGGTTTTGTTAGTTCTGGAACCTCCCTCCTTCTGCTAGTTTTTTTTTTTTAATTTCTTCTTCATTGTTGCTGCTGATACTCAAATCAGTAAAGGATCCATTGAATCTGTAATCCTTTGGTTCAGAGTAATATTAGTTCATTACCAGCATCATGATGAAATAAAGATTGGCAAAGTTATTACTCCTAAAACAAGTTGAGATGCCTTATACGTCACTCAATATCCTTAAGGGAGTGTCGTGAAAGTAGTACATGTGATGCTAGCCTTCTTGTTCCATCACAATGGATTTGTCCTCATTTATGAAAAGATAAAGACGGATCACATATTATATGATTATTAAATCTTTAAATGTCGCATAATTATAAGAGTAAAGCAGTAGAAATTTGACACCACACCATCCAGGAAAGTGGAGAAAAACATCACTCTTTGGTTAGATAAAGAAGTTGCTTCATCTCCACTTGATATTAAAAGCATAGCTATGTGCTAACCGTCTTGAGTTTTATTCTATTTACTTTTCCTTTTTTTCTCGGAAAATTTTCAAGACCCCCTTTAAATTTGGCTTCATACATGAAGTTTTTGGTACATCTGATTCTAGTCATGGTACGTCCAGCTAATAGCTTTGCTATAACATATAGGGGTCGTTTGGTTGCTGATTAGAGTTATGTGGGTATTAATAGTATAGAGATTAATTATGCAAAGATTTATTGTACAGGGTTTAGTTATGCAGGATTTTGGTGTGCATTGATTTAATTATGAAGGAATTATTTATGTAAGGACTAGTAAATATGGATTAGTAATTTATCGTAGATATTTTTTTTTAAAATGTTTATTTTTAATTATACAATGTATAATTTAAAATAAATATGAGTGTTTTTTGGCCATTTGATTGTTTAATCCATATATTACCAATATATGTATTAGTTATCCACATTCTACCTTGCATAAATAATATATAATTTTATTGTATAACTTATCCATGTATTATTTATATCCCAATAGAAAGAGCAACCAAACATAACATTAGTTATGCTGACTTTTGTACGAAATAACTAAAGGCTACTAAACATACTATTATTAGTTATGTTACTCCTAATACATAAATAACTTACCCTGTAACCAGCTACCAAACGGCCCATAACGTATTAAATTTGCATGCATTGGTATATGATGTTTGCAACAAATTATTTGTGATATAAAAATAAATTGTAACTACAATATAAATATGAAGAAACATAATTTTATTGATAAAATAATGCAGGTATAATTCTGCTTGTTCCCTTGATTCTTCTCTCTATATCGTTCTCCATGATTCGAGGGCTTAACCAGCGTATTTCTCGAACGTAGGATGATGCGAACTTTCTTAGGATGTATTTGATCTCCAAGAAAAGGAAGAACATCTGTTGATCACTTCGGTGGCTATGAGAAAGATAATATTTGATGTCTTTGATCTCTTTATGAATATTCCATGAATTTTTATAGAATTTCGAGATGCTTTCAAAGGGAATATGTGGCCTCCTTTTATAGGTGTAGCTAGAGTTTCAGGTAGAGTAACCTCTAAGTTAAGGTTTCGGATAGAGTAGCCTCCAAGAAACCTCGATGGACTCTACTTGTCGTATCTTAAATTCGGGATTCTGTCAAAATTTTATATGGATTTGATCCGATAAAACTTTGATGTCTACAAATACCCTCTACTTCAAGGCTTGCTGGGATGTAGATTTACAAGGTCGTCGTAGACGAGGCTTGAAGTACCAGTAAAGAAGACACCACATTCTTTCACCGTGAGAGAAGAGATAGAAGGGCAGATTTGGTCCCACTGGGCGTGCCAATTTGTTTGCAACAAATTATTTGTGATACAAAAATAAATGTAACCATAATATAAATATGAAGAAACATAATTTTATTGATAAAATAATGCAGGTACAATTCTGTTTGTTCCCTCGATTCTTCTCTCTAGATCGTTATCCGTGATTTGAGGGCTTAACCACCGTATTTCTCGAACGTAGGATGATGCGAACTTTCTTAGGATGTATTTGATCTCCAGGAAAAGGAAGAACATCCGTTGATCACTTCAGTGGCTTAGAGAAAGACAATATTTGATGTCTTTGATCTCTTTATGAATATTCCATGATTTTTTATAGAATTTTGAGATGCTTTCAAGGGGGATATGTGGCCTTCTTTTATAGGTGTAGCTAGGGTTTTGGGTAGAGTATCCTCCAAGCTAGGTTTCAGGTATAGTAACCTCCAAGTTAAGATTTCAGATAGAATAGCCTCCAAAAAATCTCGATGAACTCTACTTGTAATATCTTAAATTTGGGATTTTGCTCAAATTTCATATAAATTTGATCCGATAAAATTTTGATGTCTACGTATGAATGTATGCTTTTGATCATTTTCTTGTTTCGCTGCCAAAACCAGCATCATCTCCTCAAGACATGTACCTGTCCTGCTGACTAATGTTATTCATTTTGTTGAATTTTTGGGTTTCTTAGGCGTTTGCAACTGTTAGGTTTTGGTAATTAGACTTGCTTCTTCCCTTGTTCATACGGTACTCTTATTTTCTTTTATATTGCTGATTCCATCATATAATATGAGAGTGGTTGACGTTTTGGGATTTAAAAATTAATAAATCCCCAATTCAAATCGACGCAGCAAATATTTGACGATCAAAGATTTTCTTAGGAGTTTTGGCAGTGAGTTGATGCCTTCTCCGGGGACCTAAAGTTCTCATCCTTTTTTTTTTTAACTAGGAGTCCTTTAAACAAAAGGGGACTTTGGAGCAACGGTCCCGATGTGACCTATAAGCCATGGTGAATTGTGAAAAGTCATTAATGCTTTCATCGGAATAGACTATCTACATTATACCTCATTGGGCTGCAGCCCTTCCCCGGACTTCGCATGATCGCAAAATGCTTTGTGCACGTTACCCTTTTTAAGAGTCCTTTTAACCTTCAATCAATCTTCCAGGAAAACTCGAGCAAGAGCTAAATGTAATATAGCAAGGGCCAAGGGGAAGTGAAAAACATAAGATAAAAGAAAGTAACAAAGTTTACAAACCAACCAAAATACACAAGTGCATGATAAAGAAATACGAGTCCACTTGCAGATATTTTTGCCTAAAGGCAAGAGGGTTGATCCATAAAGCATATGATCAGAAAAGGGGGTGTTGTGTTGCTGATCTAAGTTTGTATGCTTCCCTACGTACATATATCAGACAAAAGACCAATTGACGAACATGAAACATATACAATGGGGATCTTCTTCTTCATTCAATACTTTCCAAGCTATTGCTCTCTCGTACGATATTGGCCTTCCCATACTCGACAAACAGATACCACCTTGAAGACAAGCAAAACCCTGCAAATAACATATGATGCCCAGCTTAGTCAACTTTAACGGTACTTGGAATTACAACATTCAAGGGTAAGTACACTGTTAGTACACAAAACTTAAAGGCTCTAAGTAGAATTAATTCATAATGTTAGTGTGCAGTAACAGTCATGCTAATATACCGGATAAACAGATGGGAAAAAAAAACAAAACAAACTCATTTACGCATTGTTTGTATATTTGGCAAACAAGGGCATAGCACCTCCCCCCTCGATCACGAGGATATCTCTAAGTTTTTTATAGAGAGAGGGATCACCTCTCAATAGTAGGAACATAGATAGAGCATGCAAAGGGAGGAGTCATACCATAATAGGAGTTTGCATACAATAATTGCATGTCATGTTGCAATTCTATAATTTTTTTCCTATGAATCATATGTTAACAGTTTTATTTAAAGGGAGTTCTCATCTATCCCTCATATTGGAGATTGGAAAAGGTAAGATGTTAATGTCCCTTCCTCCAACTCACTTAACCAGTTGAGTCATAAAATTGCCACTAATTTTAGGAGTCGATGCATGCTGAATATGGAAGATAGTGTTTGTTATCTAGTTACAGAAATAACCTTTTTCTTTGCTGGAAAGGGAAAATGGAAAGGGGAAGCCGGGTTTGGCCAAGTACATTTTATCAATTATTTTAAAAACTTAGAATTTCATGGGCAACAAAATCTAATTGTGTATGTCAATAAGAGATTCTAAAAATTACAGCTCATCATGCAAGTTGGTGCAGTATGTCAGCTACAAACTGGAAAGGTAACAGATTGCTTGAATGTTCATACAATCATACCAAGAAAAAAAAACGTCGGTTTGGAGATAAGTAGAGGAACAAATGAAGGAAATTACATATCATATACCATTCAGAAAAGCAAATAATGGATATACCTGCTGCATTATTTGAGGAAGCTCAGAGAAGAGTGCCTTTCTTCCGTTGTCGTCAAAAATCTTTTCGAGAGTAATATCTTGGAGGGAGACCAAGGTGGTTTCTAGCATGTCAAGTCCTGCCTCATTTGCAAATGTGAAAACTGGCAATGCCTGCCATCAAAAGTTCATGTTAAGAAAACCATTAACACTTGCGAAGCCTTCAATGAAATTATTTAAATATGCTTCAAGTATAATTCTTCCAGGAATCAGATGGTAAATCTTAAACTGCAACTTATTTAAACTTTATGAAAATTGGAGATCAAATCTTTAGCTGAATACCTTCAAAGAACAACACATCAGAGCATCTGAGTGATGCCAAATTTCTTTCAGGACGGATTCACTTCCTCCGCTAACAGATTTGAGCAGCTCTACACCTAAAAAGAACCTGCAAGAGAAGATAAAATATAAGCACAGATATAAGGATTGAAAATATTCACACAATAATAGCCCTATTAACTCTCAAATTAAAGGGAAGAATTATAAACATAAAAAGCATTTTATGTTAACAATATTAGAATCAGTCAGATTGTTCAAGTTGGTGCTAGATGCACATAAGTCAAAAATTTACATTAATATATACCCCTGCTCTATCCTCTTACTATACATTAATATCTACTCTTTGAGGTATATGAGGTGGCAATCTATATAAATGGAGCAACATACCTATAGCTTTGACAAATCCAACGGGCAAGCGTTTGTGCTTCAGGTGTGCCAGGTGGAGACCTTAGACCAGGGAGAGAACCAAGACGAGATGGAGAGAGTGCCAAAGCAACCCTCTGAACAGATGATATGATACTGCGAATATATTGCCGTGCCATAGCAGCTATGTTTTCTTGAAGATGGATCTCAAATGCAAATTGAAATGCTATTGTCATAACTGATTTTGTGCTAGAAGAGTTCTTGGAATAATCGCCATTTGGTCGACTTCCAGCCGGTCCAACCTCAAGAGTCGATGCAAGATCTAGTGTGCGGTTTGGACTAGAGGCGTCCTGCATTGATTTGAGAAATAAATCACCAAAAATCTGCAAAAAAAAATTCCAGATTGCATTGAATAACAAGTACTCACTGCCTTGGAGTCCAGAGGAATGATACGAAAACCAGAGGGAAGAAGAGGAGCATCATCAGCAAAAGAGGCATCAATAGGAGCAAAGACGAGCTCCGCACATGTTCCGACAGCGTTCTCATCCACTCCACTACAAAGCTGTGCATTTGAAAAACAAGGATCTTTTAAGCATTGGGGTAGCAGAAAGTGTAGTATACAGTAGGAAGCATAAAAAGCTGAACAGCAGATTGAGGACAGTTGGGACTATTCAACTAACATATATAAATGAAGCATCAACCATAATAGTGGCCAAGAAAGTAAACATACTTGCAAAAGGAAGATGTCACCAGGCATAATCATATCATCTTGATAGTGGCCAATGCTTTCAAGTCTTATCACCTCCATAAACTGTTTTCAGAGGCAAGAAATATTAATAATATATTAACCTATAAGACATAATCTATGCAACCGCAAAAGGAAAGTATGAGGGTTTCTGGAAAGATAGTGGAGATAATTCCTAACTAATCACTTGCCTCTTCATGTTCAATAGTGTGAGCCAGTGGAAGAATGATTTGACCACCAAAACATCCAGTTCGAGTGACTGGTATGCTGCATGGACCAGCTTTAACTGCAGCAGCTGAATAGGCATCAATCCCAGAGTCTGCCCATTCAGATCGGTGTTCCCGCAAGAACCTTAGCAGAATCGCAGGAGGTACGTTCTGCAACAAAAGGAAGCGAGATGATGAAACAGAACACAGAAGAATTCGAGGAAACTAGGATCTTCGCAACTATGTTTTAGAGAATGGCAACCAGATTATGTTTGCCCGCATTCTTGGGCCAGCACATAATCTAAATATACTACTACAGTATTACTTAGTCTTACCATAAAAAGAACTTAAAATTTCTTACAGAAAGGGAGCCAAAAGTTATCTTATAACAAACGGCATACCCTCTAGAGTATTGTTAATACTGAAGACGGTCCAGAAGCTCATGGAGCTATTACAGATTGAAGCATGGAAAAATACCAAGTTGAAGTTTCATTACCCATTGCATTAGCATCTCGCAGGACCATTTTTAGACAGTATTTTAATTTTCCTATTACACCATAATGTTAATTTTTCTCACGCATGATCAGAGAATTTACCTAATCCTAGACTTGAATTAAGAACTAAGGTATGATCCTAGTAGAATTTGGAAACTATCCTCCACAAAATAGAATTTAATAAATAAATAATTAAGAAAAATCGACCCCAGGAACTTTATATCACGGCTACACCAAAAACATATAAGCAGTTTTAGTTATTAATATACAACTGGAAGTTGCAGACTTGGATGAAAGCATTTAGTTTTCATTTATCACATGACGTCTCAGAAAACTTTAAATTTGTAAGCCATGTGGAAGAATAAAATTACAAATGGAAAAACATTCCTCAAAAATATATATATACAGCCATTCACATAGTTTACTCAAATCAAATTGACCAACAAATTCGTACCTGTAAAAGCATAGATGCCTTGGCACATAGTACAGCGCTACTCATTGATGGAAATCCGTTGGCATAAGAGATATTTGCACCCATCAATTTGCTGGGTGATGAGTTGACAAGAAGTGTAACATCATCTATACCGTCACTTTCAAGCATAGACCATCCCTCATCAGTAAAACCATTAACAGCCTCGTTAAAACCCCTTCACAATGCGAATTAGAAGTTCAGCCACAAATAGAATAAAATTTTAAGATGTAGAGAAAACATCAGGAATTGAAAGACCAACTTGCTCAATCTTTGACCAAGTGCGCGCAAGGCTGCAGGTCTTCTTCCCCAACCAGTGACAGTAGGATGAGAAATTTCTTGAGAAATTTGTCTCAGGTGACGTAATGCCTGAAATTTGTTATATTGAAGCAATAATTAGAAAAAGTTTAATGAACAGCAGTATCGCAACTAAGAATCTTTCGTGAACATTGTTCACATTTAAAATATTTTATTTAAAAAGTTTTCAGAAGTACATTCATCAGGCTGAAATTACAACTAAAGTTAATTGAAAAGCGGATGATAAAATAAGAGAACTAAATTTTCCTTATGAAGAAAGATATCTGAGCATAAATTAGACCTACCGCCATTGTTGTCCTCTGCGACAGCACTGTTGATGACTCATACAGTGGACGCAATACTTCGGGAACACTCCAGGGCTGGAAAAGATTATTAGCAGCATTTTGTCAGAAATTTGAGAGGGAGAAGAAGAGTCTTATGTAATTAACAAATTAACACACCTCTAGATCCATATGGTCAACTATGTGAATGATTGAACCACCCCCCTCACAGGGTCGTATCAGATACCCACTTGGAAGCAGCTCTGCTCTCACAAAATTCTGCACCGGTGGCATGCTAGGACCATTCTGAGTGTTGTTCAGTGATCTCTCACATACCTAGAGTTGAAATTTGAGCAATTCATAACATAAGTTAACAAGGAAAAATGGACAGTTACCATTGAAATTTGAGCAATTCATAACATAAGTTAACAAGGAAAAATGGACAGTTACCATTTCTGTCAGTTTACAAGGAATAAAATAACTACTGACACATACCACAAGGCTACCATCTTCCATAACAGATGTATACCGCATTAACCAGAAGTCACGAGCTGGTGCCAGAGTAGTAGGTGCGTAGAGCTGAAACAAGTTACAAAAGTATATTCAATGAAAAATTGTGACACACACATGAACTAAAGTAGGACCGGATATGAATTTTCTAAAAGTAACCTGCATGTATAGCAACTCTATGGTTCCACCGCTCCCAGTAGACATCACATTGAGAACATCCACCGCTCGGCAATCACGGAACCATGATGGCCGATCCTTAAGGATCTCAGCAACCTTGATTAAGGAAAGCACAATTACACCTTGAATTCCAATAAAAATATTGAATTGACCAAGTTATTCAGGATGACACTTACTCTTGTAGGCTCTAGACCCACAAGGCCACAAGCACGTGAGGCTACTCCTGAGCAACTATGAGAAATAGCAGTGATTCCAATGGAATCCGGACCAGGCTGCAGTCATGAAAGAGAGATATTCTTAAAGATAACAATGACATAATTTTGTGTGCATATATAGCTATTATGTAATTAAACATGGTACATGTAATTGTACACGTGATCAAATCCTCTAAAGTGTCACAGGTAGAGATTTATCTTAAAAAGCAAAGCTTCTACTGATGCGATGTATTGATGCAATAGTGTAATGGGAGCTGCTAAAACTTAGATTTTTGATGAGCCTGACAACATAAGTAGAGCAAGACGAATAAGTAAGAAATATCTTCATATTTTAACTAAAACAAAAGTGATTATGATTAATTGATGATTAAATAAAGAGGAAGAAAGCAAGAAAATTCACTGCAGAGAGGATTTTTACCATGCAGCTCTTTTTGCCAAGAGATTTAAGAGATAATAATGCAAGTAAATAATGCCATGAAAGCGCAAATCTAAAACATTTACAATTAAAGAACTGTGAATAAAGGAGTCATTTAGCTAGTTAATAAATCGTTAAACACTTCAAAAATTTGATCAAGTCTTCTATAAATTGAAAGATAGGAAAGGGAACAAACCTTCATCCCAGGCATTTGGACCCACTCCACAGCGGTTCCAGTGGCCTTTGATAGAAACTCTGTTAAAGTTTCCTCTGCTAAGGACAAAAGTCTGAAAATATTCATATATCATTAGACATGCTATGGAAAATAATGCAAAAAAAAAAAGGAATTAGACTCAGAAAACGTGTACTTACCCCGCAGGGCTTGCATCCCTTGGTGGACGCTGAGCGGACAAGTTTTGCTGACCACTCGTCACCACAGATTCACAACTATTGTTGTCTGTGGTGGTAAGGGCTGCCTGCAATATTGAAGTATGACAGTTAGGAAAAACTAAGTCATCGGGGAAACAAAGAGAACGAAACTATTACTGCTCGCATGTACTCTTTAAAATGGAAACATCGAGTTGTATTGACAAAATGAAAAGCCAGATACAAATACAGGTTTTATCTCTCCCACTGACATCATTGTTTTCAAGCATTCACCACCGAACTAAATAAAAATGCAAAATGTTTAGAAATGCTATAAAATACATCATATGCAGATTCTTGCTTCTATAGGTAGCATTTCTAGGTTATATATTTCTAAACCAATTCTTTTCCTTGACCTTCTAACTAATCAGAAAGAGTTGCAATAAGCAAAACCCAAACCCCAATCTTTAAAAAAATCCAAGAAGAAGACAAGTAAGAATAGATTGCTTACAGTTTGAGTCTGTTGGCGGAAAAAGCTATTCTCATACACCAACTGTGAAACTTGCTTCTGCAGCCTATCATTTTCCTCCATCAACAGCTTATTCATTGCTGTCAATTTTCTGTTCACGGCTTGAAGACGCGACGATTCTTTACGTTGCTTCTCTCTACATCTGCATTTACACAAACACAATTCCATAATCATCTGAATAATTCAATAGAATAAGAATGAAATGAAAGCAAAGCAACTTTTGCAAAATCCAACAATTTAGTTTAGTCGGATACCTTCTATTTTGAAACCAGACTTTGATTTGTTTTGGCTCGATGTTGGACAGAATTGGACACTCCCGAATCAACTGCTGACGACGGAGTGAACTGGGCTTTGGACATTCATGATACAATCTCTCCAAAGCCTCAACCTGCTCAGGAGTGTACCTCACATATTTCCCATTGTCCATCCCCATTTTACTGTCTTTACAGGCCGACGTCACCGCCATCATCACTTCAATAAAAATCAATTTTGAGAACCAAAAAAAGAATTACTCACATAACAAACAGAGTTCAAAAGACAGAGTTCCCCTGCTTCATCTTCATTTCCAACATCTTGTATATTACAACTCCTTACTCTCTTTCAACAAAATTCTCCAAATTCTTATAGTATACCACAAATTCCAATTTCAAAATTATCCCCCCTTGTTACCAAACCATCAATAAAAATTTATACTAAAGGAAACAAAAAAAAATTCTTGGTTTGCTAGGAAGTTTTAAGAAACTACTAAATCTTTCTACACTTTCCCACAATTAAATCATTTACCTTTTATGTTTTTTTTACAGATGATTTGAAGACTTGCAGTTGTACAAACTTGACAAATCTTTTTCAGTCAAATGATAAATAAAAATAATACGTATAAACAAAGGATTTAACAGCTAAATCCCTTCCTACCCACTTAACCCCAACAAACTCCTAACAATTCTGCATGTGTATATATAGCATATAGATATGTGAATACAAAGACAGATACAACTATTAAATATATACTAATATTTTAGAATCCCATGTGAAAATAAAAAGTTAAGGAAAAAAAACATTTGGATATGCAATGAAACTTGTGTCTGAAGCATAGAAACTTTCAAAGCCTTAGAAATCAAGAAATGTAAGCACACAAAGATATTAGTAGGAGACAAAGACGAAGAAATTAAGGGGGGACAAAACACACAAGATTTGCTACCTTGTAAAATATCCTCTCCCAAAAAAAAATATGTAGTCAAATTCTCAGCCACTTCCTTCAAAACCACGCAGCAGTAGCGTCAAGCACAAAGACATAGATCTTTCATCATCGGATCACGGTCTTACCAATTTCCCACAACTCTAAACTCAAGAAAATATAATTAAAACACAATCTTTTTTGTTTTGTTGTTGTAAACCTACCTTTCTCTATGAATTCAAGAACCAGTTGAAAGGTGTATTATTACTATACATACAAGAATGGGAAGGTGAGTGGTCTTCTTTATATATTTTTCGTATGTATATGCAAAGGGGAGAGTTTAAAGAGGAGTGGGGAAAGAGGAAGCAGAAATGGGAAAGACCATTTTGGTTACTTTGCTAATTATCAAATGGTGTTTGCTGTTGTTGCTAAGTAGGGGTAGTAGTATTTCTTTTTTTCTTTTCTTTTTTCTGTTTTTTTTAATTTAAAAGGAGAAGTTTGGGAGGTTTTTTTGGGGGGAGGGGGGGGAAGGGGGTAGGTAAAAGTAAAAGAGTTGAAAGGAGCAGAACAGTGAGAGTGTTTGTGAATGGTATCTTTTGCACTGCAAAACAACCAACCTGTCTACTAAAACATCAGAATAAGATGGGAATGTAACAGACACAAAAGTAAAAGCCACAAAATCCCACTTCAGTTGGTAGAGCTTCTTGTAAGCCTCCTGCTTTGTTTGTCCTCCCTATTTGACATTAATGCCCCTCTCTCTCTCTCCAATAAAATAATGAGTAAATCTTACTCATATAATTTGTTTCTTTTTTCTTTTTGTTTTTTTATGAACTTTTTCCTAATACCATATATCACAAATAAGAAAAAGTGAGCTCGCAAGAATCTACTTCTATCAAAATGAGGAGCAACAAGCTGAACTTGAACTTGAAGAAGCGAGCCTCTGTCAGAGAAAGTCATTCTGCGCTAACCCGTTATTTTGTTAATTTGTATTATATGAAGAGCTATATATTTTTTTAAAGGTATTAGTTACCGAAAATTTCATATACATTTAGTAATAATATATTTCTTAATTATATATATAATACTGTAGCGCTTATTGTAAACAAAAATTTCGGCTAAGTCAAGGCTAGTATTGTATTGTTGTATTATTGCATATATGATCAATTGCGAAAAATAAATATGTGTTTCTAAGTTAGGAATACTAGAAATGATTTTTTGTTTCTTTATAATTCTATAGTCATATGTTCTTAACAACTTATATATTATAAGTTGTAATAAACCTTATGTAAACTCACTCTTTACTACAATATTTATATAAATTTAGTAATTTGCTTAAGAAAAAGAAAATAGAAAAAAAAGAGTCAAGAAAAAGTGGAAATGGTAAGAGTGTAAAAACAAGGAAAGATAAGGGGTAATTGAGCAAACTGACATATGTCATGCGTACGTGGGAAATAGGAAAATATAGTAACAGAACCTTAGGTTAAAAATATATTAAAAGAAAATTAAAAAAAAAAAAAAGATTGCTTAGGGGGGTGAAAAGCAAAGTGAAAAAAATAAAAGAAAAAGAAGACAGAATAATGAGGATGTTTTGCATGCGCCCCCTCGATTTTTGCTCTGTCTATCCCCCACACACCTATTTTATAGTATTTCTCTTTCATCACTGTCACTATCATATTATCATGATCATACATACATGGCATGTTCACAACAAAGCATGACATAAAACAAGATTTTCTGTTTCTTTGTTTTTTCTTCAAAAGAGTAGTGTTGTTTATCCATGTGAGAATACAAGAATATATCCGAAAGTTTCGATCTTTAGACGCTACTCATGCTTCTTTTGTTTGTTTTTATTTAGCTTTTCCTTCTTTTTCTCTTGGTTGGTATTATGTGGAACTAAAAACAATTTTAAGAGTCCCTTGAGTATTGCGAATAGAAATGATATATTAGATATCCGACAATTAAGGTTTTCTTGATACTGACTTAAGTAGAAGTAATCACGTCTGCATAAAATTAGTGAGCAAAAGTAATTGTGTTGTTGTATTGTTAGCACAACTCATCTCAAATGGATCAAATAAAAGAAAATCGAGAAACATAAAGAGTGCAATCGAACCCCAAAAATTTTAAAGTTTGTTTTGTAATACACATCATTGAGTTGGTCCAACTCGAAAAATAAGAGCATGAGCAATATAATAGTATATACTATTGTCTCAAAGTCGCTAATTTACATTAATATTCATGGTTAAAACACCTGCATTATATCACGTCACACCAAGTCTTATTACATCTTCAATCAATATATCGTATATAAAAACACAAATTGAACATTACTTTTCGCTGTAAAAAACTACTCTATTGCAAATTAGGGCAAACTTCCAAAAACGTGAATTCCTTATCACGTGGGGTGTTTCTTTATCATGTTAATGGATTCCAAGTGGTGACTTGAGAAACTTTTTAGTTTTTTATTAATCAAAATACATTTTTCTTGATCTAAATTCGTTCTTTTGATATCATAGAATTAGAATTTTCATTGAACTGGTACAGCACTAATATTTACTTATTTTGAACGAGTAAATAGTCTTTCTTATAGTTCAGATCGTCATCTTCATCTTGTTTTTGAATTATCATATTTCGAGTTCTAAAATTTGAGATAAATATTTCTTGAAATTGGCCCACAAAACATATTTTTGCTTCAAGATTTTGATCCTTGGTCGATTGGTTCTTTGTTAACTTCACATCACTTGGCATCCCCTCACAGCTGCTAAGTCACAAAATTGATAAGGAGTGTTGCGGAAGCCAAATGTATATAGTGTGAATAAGTCACAACTACTATACCAAAAATTATGACAGCCACCAAATAATAAATAAGACAATAAAGCAACAATAAAGGGAACACCAGAATTTACGAGGTTCGGCTAATTTTGCCTACTCCTCGGACACAACCAAATATTTTATTCCACTCCAAAAATACAAGTGAAATAATACTAAAGAGAGAAGATACAAATGCCTTAAACAGATGAGAAGGCAAATGAGAGGTGTGTTTCAATCCTAAACATTAGGCCTTCTTTTATAGGGGAAAAATCCCCTCCAAACTTAACTCCCAACCAATATGGGACTTTGGCATTTTGCCAAACTTCAACAAGGAGTCCTTGATGGAAAAAGGGCTCCTTATTTGGTATATGGATATGGTCGTATACTTTATCAAAGGGTTAAAAGGTCAATTTTTAGAATCCTAAGTAAAAGAATCTTGACATTTATGGTGGAGATCATTAGTAAGTCAAATGATGTTCTCTTTTTTCCCCTTTATTTCCTTGTAGGTAGAAAGAACAACATCAAGATTTCATTGTTGACATCTTCCGACAATATCGAAAAATGACAAAGGAAGAGTATCCAACTTCATTTCTTGCCAAATCGTAGCATCATTGGTTGAAAAAGATTAGACCTCTTCTCATTTCCGTTTTAAGTTATGAGTATATTAGTTGACAATTTGATTTGTACATATGAAACCTATCTTCTTTAACTATAAATATTATAAATAACTTTAAAATGTCTCTGTCACTGCAGATTTAATTTAATTAAGGTGGCATCGCCTATTTTTTGGAAAGGTGCAAGGCGATGGATGTGATAAAAGAGAGGCCATCTTAGATGAGTTAACTTCTCCTAATGTATATAGACCTCAATCACCTGTAATAGTTGTGATATTATGATGATCGAATATGCAAAAAAGATAGATTCAACGTAAAACCACATAAGTAAAAAGTTTCTCAAATGACTTACAATCTTCAGAAATCTACGAAGAATATGAAACAATTTAACCTAAAAATCTCTATAAGCGACACTAGCTAATTGGTTCATATATTAGGGTTTGTGTTTGCCAGCTTAGTTTTACTGAGTCTCGAATGACATGTTAGGCTAACTGTGACACTGAAGAACGAACTCATTAGAGATTTCCAATTTGTATCTTAAAATCTATATTTAGTATTGAAATGAAATGAGTCAAAATAATGAATATAAGTATAATTAAGTGCAATTAGTGTATGATTAAGGCATAGTTGGTTAATTTGTTGATTGATAAATATGCATATAGTAATACTTTTTCACTAGTATATATACCTCGAGGTTTTTTAGATTTTTGTTGGAACTAATTCCTAAATTTCGATGCCACTATGTGTCATCTCTGAACATTGTATTACGATGCATGTTGTATTTTCTTTTATTGTGAATGATGACTATCTTGATGGGCTGAGAAAATAGCTCGTTTTCGACAAGTTTCTAAATTTCAAGGCTCAAAAATATCATTTAATATAACTAAAATATTCAAATAGAATTTTGGCAATACCGAGAGAGAAACAGAAGTTTTGTCTGTCTTTATGAATCATAAGGGAATAATATATCCTGAGAAAATTGGTCTTTGTCCACATCTCGTAGTAATTAATTAGTAGTGCTATTTTAGAGCATTGTCTATTAAACTTGTGCCTAAAGTTAAGGAATATCAAGGACTATTTAAGATAACAAAGATAAGAAAGGGAGAGTAGCCCAGGATATCAACTTTTTCTAAAGCATGCTTAGAAACAACAGTAATTTATCTTTCTTCTCTCATTCTTTTGCTTACTGTATTCCACAAAAACGTTACTTTTTCTCCTTTGATAAAGCCTCTGATTAAAAGTGGCCATTGTTAAGTGAGTCTACGTTAGTGGTCAATTGTAGCTTCAGGTCTTCCTCGAAGGTTTCCCGGATTTGAATTTTTCAAGATATAAAATAACTTTAGATACCATTGGTTAGAAACTAAGCTGCGGAAGACCAAGATTACCGCCTTTTCCTCACCCGCGAAAAATTAATCTAAATAGATGGCTCACTCAATGGCTTAAAATTCAAAATAACGGTGAATATATAATATATATTAATTTATAATATATATATATATATATATATATATATATATATATATATATATATATATATATATATNCGGCCATTTTGAGAATTTAAGCCTCGTTCGGCGTCATAAAGTCTTGAACAACTTCGTATTATGTGTTATGACTTGCGTGCGTGATCGAGTTCAGTTATCGGATGATTCAGAGTCAATTTGAGAGAAGAATTTCTGTTTTAGAAGCTTAAGCGGTAAGAGTTGACCGGAATTTGACTTTTGTGTGAACGATTCCGGAATGAGGTTTTGATGATTTCAACAGCTTCGTATAGTAATTTTGGACTTAGGCATGCGTCTGGATTTGGATTTGGAGGTCCGTAGGGTAATTTGAAACATTTCGACAAAGGTTGGAAAAGTTGAAGTTTTGGAAGGTTGAGAGGTTTGACCAAGAGTTGACTTTAGTGATATCGGGGTCGGAATGCGATTCCGAGAGTTAGAACAGCTCCTTTTTGTCATTTGGGACTTGCATGCAAAATTTGACGTCATTCCGGATTGATTTGATAGGTTTCGGCGCGAGTTTTAGAAGTTGGAAGATTTGAAAATTTCATGAGTTCG